GCTTTTCCGTAGCAGAGCCTTTAGCAAYGCGGTCATTGATCCAGGGACGTGCRGCCTGGGATTTTTCCGGGGTACAGAAACTCTCCTTTGGCATAAACTGAGCGCGAGGTGTTCTGCTAATGACCTTGCTAGTTTAAATGAAGTGCCTCTGCTGAAAYGCCTCAGGCTCCTGCCTCTCCTCCCAGGACCTTTGCTTTCCTTCTTCATGCATGACACGGGGCCGTGCCCCTGCCCAGCACYGCGCAGCCAGCACGGCCGCCTGCAGTGAMACCCAGCGGGCGGCTTCGCGCCGGGCTGATCCCTTGGGACACAGGAGGCCGTCACCTCCATGCGGGCACCCGAATGGGTCCTGTAAAGGAGGTGGTAGGAGCTGGGCACCGAGTGGCTTCCAGCACGCAGCGCCCTTCCTCTAAAGTGTTAAGTGACTGCCCCTTGCCAAGGTCTTCTGAACAAGCCGGCCTTGAAGGAGCTTTTTGGCTGGAGCCTTCATGATGCACAGCAATGAAACCTTTGGGGACCATTTAAGCCAGTATGGTGTGTTGTCTGGTCTCTGCCATGAGAAAATCTTTGTTGGGTTGGACGAAGCGTAAAAGGCTTCTGACCTTTAGGGCTTTCGTTGTACATGCATATTTTGGGTTCTAGTGCTCAGAGCAGTAAAGAGCTYTAGAAAATGTGCAYGTTCTCTGTATGCTTCAGGCTGCTGAAAATGTTTTTCTTCTGGGTTCTGCCACTTGTCCAGGGDAGTTGTTGTAGTGTTTTKTTTGTTTGTTTGTTTGTTTTAAACACTTGAGTTTTACCCGTAACCTGGGCACGGCAACGGGGCTCCCTGGGCACGCGAGGCTCCTCTGCGATGCTGATAAAGGCACCACAGCTGGATGTGGGCTGTGGTCGCGGCCGCCCGGACTGAGCTGCAGCTGCTGCTGGGCTCCACGGGCTCTCCCCAGGCATTGCAGGAGYGTGGATGGAGTTGTTGCACCCATAGATTGTATTTTGATAAGTGATTCATTCATTCATGTACCAGTTTTGTGGTCAGACTGAACACTGGAATGAGGAAAATGCTCCATAAGGGAGCTTTATGTAGGATGCTTTTGTAACTCCTGTTTTCCAGGATCAGCATTTTGTGGCAGTGGAAGGTTTTGAATTGCTCTGCTGCTCCTGGTGCCCTTATCTTCAGGCACCTCAAGGAGGGCTGCCAAAAGCGCGAGGGGAAAACCTGCCTTTTATATCCCAATGCCCCTTCCTGTCTCACAGCCATCTGTGCTGCTTTCAGGTGACAGATTTCCTACCTGATTTACTTACCTTTTGTCAGGAGGGTGAGGTCTCCAGTGCAGTGGCCACAGGTAAATGCAGCATTAGGGCACAGGACAGTCACTGCCATGTTTCACATTTGCTTGGTGTCTTCTAAAAAGTTGTAGCCCCCACGTGTCTGTCAGAAGCAAACCCATGRAACATCAGTTCCTTGTGCAGAATGAAAACGGTTCCAACAGAGTTAGCAGCTGATACTGTATTTTTCCTAGAAGTAAAGATAACAGTAGCAGCCCAAGCAGGATGTGGGGTATGTGACAAGGATTGGATTGTTAAATTCTGTGCCTGAAAACCTGCTTTCTTCAGCTTTGACCACTGCTATTAGCTTTAAAATGCCGAGCTGCTGCAGATCGCCAGTGCTGCGTATAGGCAGGGYTCTGTGAATGGGTCATGTTCGGGTTTTTCAGGCTCTGACGAGGTTGCATGGATGCTGTGCAAGGTTTCTATGGACCTGGTTTTGTGGATAACGTCTGCTGAAGACAAATGTTAAAAGTAGGTTTAAGTGACAGACCGTGACTGGACTAATGCGGATTGGTGTCTGGAGTGATGCAGCGTAACAAGGGATCCGGGCCTAGGGTGCCGAGCTGCGCTGGGCTAAAGCGCGCACGGCTGCTCCTCGTGGCCGCTGTGTGGTCAAACTGTGCGGCGAGCGGGTCTCGGATCCGGCCTCGCCGGCTCAGCCCGGCGCTCGGCAGGACAGTCACCTTGCACTGAGGAATCCCAAACCTGAAACAGCTAAGGTGGTATTTGGGCTCAATACCCCCAAATTTGGGTATTTTGTTGATGTGTTTTAGTAGCCCGAGAGGAACATCCAGTGAAGCCGATTTTGCTTTGGGGGCTGTCAGCACTGTAGGCTTTTCAAACTCTGCAGAGAAAAAGGGGGRAAAAAAGCAACTTTTCACTATCTCCTCCAGCCTATGCAGATGTTTCTGGAGGCCTTGCACACTCCTGCTAGAAGGCTGCTTTTGCAGCCCTGGGCTGGTGGCGCAGGCAGCGGGGAGGTAGGAGGCAGTGTGCCTGCTGCCCAGGGGCAGAGCGGAGCGCGGCGTGTCCGTGCCGTGGGACCAAGGCGGGAGCTGCACCCGGAGCAGCGCCGCACGGAGCATCCTGCTCCTGGCCACAGGGCTCCCGAGGCTGCTCACCCGCAAACTGCGTGTGGGTCACGGGAACCGAGTTGCTCCTCTTCTGTCAAGTGGCAATAGGAGCTCTGCATAACTCAGTAAATTTGTTCTGTTTTCTTTAGCATGCAGCATATGTGTTAATACACCTTCATTTCTATGTGGAAGTTAGTGAATTTAGTAGAAATTTCTGTTGATGTCCATACCTACAGCAAAAGAGATGATAGTTTTAATGCTCAAAAATAGTCTTTGCAGCAATTATCCTCAAGGTTTCATGTTCTCAGTATTCTGTCAGGATTTCTGCAGTTATCCTGTCTTTAAAAAACACAGAACTAAATTAAGAAAGTATTAATTTGAACCGCAAATTATTCGTTTCCCCCAAACAAATAAAAGGCCAAATAAGCAACAAGCTCCCTCTGAATTTCAAGGGACCCTTCCACTATAAAACAGAGTYACTTAAAATTTTAATTCTGGTAAGTTAAAAGATCTTTTTTTAATAATAATCCTTTAAATAGGAAACCCTCATAGAGGCAGGAAGGCAGGTGACTGAAGCTCATAACCGAGGTGATGGGTATCAGCGTTGTCCCTTAGGCTGTTCTTGCTCAGCTCAGGTACCTGTGTGGCTCTACAAGAATGGGGTACATGTGGGCATATGGGAGATGGTTCTCTGAACCCTGCAAAGAAAGGAAAAACCCACAAAGCTCTGCAGGACCGTGGTTTAATACCTGACTGAAGAGAGTGCATCTGTCAGTCCCTCTAGTGAGGTGTTCAGTATAGTGAGGTCCCCATACAGCGTCATGGGCATTTTCAGAGTTAAATACACAGCATTTGARATATAAATTGTTCTTTACTAATTCCCAGAATAATTTTGGGGATGTCAACAGAAGGACGAATAAATTCCAGACCGGTTCATKTTTGGAAACGCTGATATTCTCAACAGCAGCTGAGTCACATCCTTCGTTGTGACACCTGACGGAGCCGTGAGCGGTGCCAGCTTGCGACATCCTGCTCGCTGCCCCTCTTGTTCCTGTAACTCCTTGGCAAACGTGCGGGCTTTCTGCCCCAGAAGGTGAGAGGCAAAGCACTGTTTCTCATTTTGGATGCCTGCACCCAAGTGATCATCTTGCTTCCTGTTACCGAAGTTATTCTTAAATCCCTGTTCAGCGGAGCTGGGGATGAAAGCACGGTACGACTTGGAAAAACAGTGCTCACCTCTTTCTTGCTCCCGATTTTTGCAAATCCAGGGCAAATCCAGGTTTCTCTGGAAGTAATGACCATCCAGAGCAGCATGGAAAGCTAGAAATTCAGGGAAGCTGAATTCCATATGTTCTGTGGTAACTGAAATGGTTGGGCTTGTTTTTAGCAGAAATCAGTGAATGGTGTTGCCTGTGGCAGCTGTGCCAATGGGATGGGGCTCCCGGGAATTGTTGTGTCCATCTTGCCCATACATATGTTGATTTTTAGGATGTTTTTAAGTAGTTAAATTTTCAGATAGAGATGGTCTAAAAGTGGTTGAAACAAATGAGGATGTTTTGTGAGGGTTAGGACACTATGTGCATGTCTTCTTGTTTTCTAGAGAATTGATGTTCCTACATAGTGTTTAGATTTTATTTGATCCCCAGCTATCCAAGTCATATAGAACACAAGTAGTTGCCTGGTGGATTTTTCTGTGGTATTTGGTATTGTTTCTTGTGTTGCAGTATTCCCAGTCCTGGGTCGCTGGTGGTTGAAAAATCTAAACTTTGTGGTCATAGGTGTTTACATTAAAGCTGAAAGGTAGCGAACATGCAACTTCCTGGGTCTGCTGTTTTAACCACTTAAAGCCTTGTGCAAACTATCTGGGAAGGGAAAAAGTGCAAGCCACTCATTCAGGTTTAGGTGGAGGCCAGTTTTGGTGTATCCTTATGGCCTCAAACAAGCCACGTGCAGAAACCARAACATCCCTATTTTGATCTGAGCCAGCGGGTTTGGTTTGTAATTAGAAAAATCATTCTGGACTTTGAGATGAGGGATTTCTGTGTACTGAATTCATCACCCTACAAGCTGTGTGGTGTGGCCCTGCGGATTTGCAATAATATGGCAATTTGGTTTTGAAAATGATTGATTAAAATGCAGTCCATTATCATGTCCCTAATCTCTGTAATTCTGTTTTCCATGTCCTTTSTGTCCTCATCGACTTGTTTCAAGACTTCTGATTTCTTTATGCTTGCTGGAAGRGTGCTCTAAACCAGGCTGCCCTCTTGGTTGGGAACCACTAAAACACCTAGTGAGATCCCCCAGCAACATGGTCCAAAAGGGTCCTTCGGATCATAGTGCAGTGCGAGTTGCGTGTATGTAGGAGGCACGTCCAAGAGTAACTTTTGTTTGGAGCTGCCAATTACACGATGTCTGTTAAATCCTTTGTAAGCCTTTTCTTTGCTGAACTACACGGTCAGAAGTCTGGAGGTGGCAAACTCGCAATCTTGGCTGTGAGCTCGAGCTCAGGCTCTCTCTGCTGTCAGCTCTGTAGCCATCACTCTGTCATGTGCTCGAGTACTGCGAAGTGTTTGACCATTTTCTTTGTCTTTTTGTTCCCAGTCAAGCTGCAGCTTCAAGCGGAAGAAAGAGGAGTGGTGTCGATCAAAGGTGTCAGTGCCAACCGCTTCCTTGCTATGAAGGAGGATGGCAGGTTGCTGGCCCTGGTAAGCAGCGGCTTTCGTGGGKCTGCTCATCTCTGTTGCTTAGGTCCTCTCGTTAACCCCTCCTGCTGCTGCTCTGACTTCTCTCTGCTTCTGAGTTACCAGCAAAAAGCACTCTGCAGCGCCTTGGTCAATGACAATTTTTTACGGAGTAGCTTTTTCCTTTTCCACTAATTTTCACATAAGATAGGTCAAAAGGTTTGTCTTAAAATAGAAGGTAAAGTCATTAAAGTAAAAATGATTTGATTTTTATACTTTAATAGTCTGCATATAGCCCTCTTTGTAGGGAATGAGGTTTTTTGGTCATGTATACCTACAAATTAGAAGACTTAAATTTTCAAAGTATTTTTCTTATAGATCTAAAAAAATGCAGATTAAAACTAGCTTAGCAAGACTAGTTTTAATTGAAACTCTGTCCATTTTATTGGTTAAATAAAGCCWCCAAGCTCATTTATTTATTTATTTATAATGCACTTGTGTTCGTATTGCCTGTAAGGTTTTAGGAACTGTGAACAGCGTGTCTATATGCTCAATATTGATGCAGACAAGCCTTAGCATTTGTTGCCAGTGAGATACCCCTGCAGTGCAGCCTCCTAGAACAGCCCCGAGGCTCCGGTGCCTCCAGCACCGGCACATTTGCCTTCTGTGCAAGTCTGAGCTCACAGCTGCTCGTAGCGAGAAATCAAGGCCCTATTGCAGCTGAGCTGCAGTTGATGGCGTTACCCACGAGGARCCGCAGACCTGAGTTCTCATCCTCYTCGTATGAGCCCCTGCTCCCGGCGAAAGCAGCCCAGAGCCCTCGAGAGACTCCGTGTGCGCCGGGATGCCCGGGTGCTCCTCGCYGTTGTGCACGTTGCYGTGYGGCCCCAGGGGAGCCGGCTGCGTTTGCGCCTGCCAGTAGCGGTGCAGAACGGTGTCACTACCGTGTGGTTAACGTGGGCATCGTGCCACAGCTCAGTGGAAGCCAATGCGCCAAGTAGCCCACTGGGCCCTTGTTGAATTAAGGGCAGCTGGGARTTTCCTGGGGCTGTGGCGGGCCGATGTTGGGCGTCCTGTTCCAGTCCCCGCCGGCCTGCAGCGGCCGGGCCCCCGGTCGGAGCTGGTGCCTGGGCCTGCCTGGCTCCTCTTGTGTCCGTGCCCTCAAAGATGTTGCTGTTGCACTGAGGGGCCGCGTCTCCAGCTCCCGCATGGTGAAGTGCTTGGGACGGTATTTCCCATTAATTTGGAGTTACTCCCTCAGCATCTGTTTAACTTGGGTCATTTGTGTYTCCTGCTGGAGCTTATAAAGCCAGTTTTTGTTTCTTAGGATGGGTATTACTTGAGCCGTGTCTGCCGTACTGCAGACACCGCTTCCCACAGCTCTTCACTTCGGCTATTAATAGGTGCTCACGGAAGCTGCCTGCTCTAAGAAGATTTTGTTCTTTAGCAGCAAGCATTTCATGTCCAGTGAATACTCTGGCAATTTCACGAGTGCCTTCTGAAGCCTGAGGGATATTTTTTCCATGAGGATTTCTGTACTATGGCTTCCAGCAGCTTGTGGCCAGTTCTGTCTCTAGTGTTCTCTGCCTCTTCCCCACTGGCCGCGTTTCTCTGTCCTTTTCTCTGTGTTTCCATGAGAGCTTTGCTAGAGCTTCCTGGTGAAATCTTCACAGGGAAGTGATCTCCTCGGTGCACATGAACATGTTCTACTGACAGCTTTGCTTATTTCTACCAAAACATTAYGAAACTTTAATTTCTAAACGCTTTTTTAGTTCTTTTAGTTCTCAAGGCCACTAGTGACTAATCACCCAGGCACAATTTTGTGCTTTCCCCCAGTAATTTTCAGCAGCACACTTTTCAATTAAAARAACATTTTGAAGGCAAATATGTTCCTGGAATGAACTGACTTCAAATTATGAAGCCTTCATAAATTTCTGTGGTAAAACCACTAGCTGATGGTCGTCCTTGTTCAGCTCTGCAAGGTTCCTGTGCCTTGGCCCATTGCAGATTCACTCCCATCACCAGTACCTTGTGCTCTGAGGATCTGCTGCCTTGGACTAAAGAAATTCTTGCCAGTGACCTYGGTGGGGCTGCTGCAGCTTAAGCACCCCTTCGCTCAGCTCCGTTGGGTGTCCTGGCGGTGTTTGGCACTGCCCGTGTTTCAGACTCCGTGTCTGCGCTGCCGTTGCTGCCGGGGTGAGCCAGGGATCTGCTCCGTGTAGGGCAGCCCTTCCCTTCCTTCCCTAGTGCCTAGCAGTGGGTAGGTGTGGGGGGCTTCCTGCTSCTGCCTAAACCCTTACAGCTGTTCTGTTCTCCTTTGATTCCAGCTGAGCCCTGTAGCAGTTCGCTTTGTACTCCTTTTATAAATATGCTAACATCTTCCAAAATGCCTCTACAAGTGATTGTGCAGCCTTCCTTTTCTTCTAGCTGCCTGTTTCCCTAATTACTTTGKTGAGATGTTTCTTTGCACCTTGCTTTGAGCTAGGTTTTGTAAAGTGGTTTATTGTGTAGCCCACGTGTGCTGCAGCAGCCTGCCTGCTTCTCCAGAAAGTGCACGGGGGGTTTCATGGAGCAGGCCTGGGGCTTCTGCTTGCCAACAGCCTCCTTTTGTCTGGGGGGACAGGGAGTTTTCACCTGCTTGGTCCCGGGAGGAAAGGGCGCCGCAGCTGTGCAGCCACTCAGGGCTTTCTGTTGGAAAGTGCTGCTTTGACTAAAAATGGTTTTGCAGAARTGCATCTATTCGATGACATTTTCAATGGGATAAAAAAAATGAAATGTTTCATTTTTGACGCTGCTATGTTTTGATTTTTAGTTGTTATTTAAATGCTGATAGTTTCACCTTTTTGAGTTAAAACTTAGAATATATCATTTAAAAAAAAAATCTTAGCAGTTTCCACAAGACAATCATATTTTTGTCCAATCCTTACATTTACAAATATTTCTTCATTTAAGTACATGGCCTGTCATTACGTATGGCACAGTTATATGGCTTARCAGTGATCAGTCAGGTTCTGTCAGTCTGAAAGACTTGCTACTTTTGAGGAAAAATTCTTTCTTTTGATAACATGGGTTAAAACTGCAATACAAGATTAGCTGTGAACACAAACCTTCGTTTCCTGGCCTTGCTGTAGTTCTGAAAGGACAAAAATCACCATATATCCAGGGCATTAGCCATCCATTCTGGTAGGTGCTCTTACAGGTTAAGCTTCCAGATGAAGTTTTTAGTGTGAGCAGACATTACCAAGAGCTTCAGTGGCTCTAGAGACTTGAATTCCTAATCTGGGTCAGAATTGTCAGAGCCAGTTAACGGGCGTCGTGGGCGCTGCTACGGCTGCTGCAGTTCGCGCTGCRGGGGAGTCGCTCCGTGGCTTTCGGCTGCGCGACGCGGGGAAGGAAGCGGCTTCCCTAGGGAAGCCACCGCCTCTGTGGGTGCCTTGCGGTGGCCCGTGTGGCGGGTGAATGTGGAGCTGCACGCGGCTGCCTGGCAGCGTTTGCTGGCCAAGGGCTGGGCGAGCTGGACGCTCCGCGCGAGGCTGCGCTGCTGAGCGCGGCCCCCAGGCTCGCGTGGGGAAGGCGCCGCCTGCCACCCTGCGTGCCCCCGTCTCGTGGCGCGCAGCTTGAGCAAGGCCGTGCAGATCAGGAGCCGTGCACCCCGTTGAGTGCGTTTCGGCTGCGCACAGCGTAGGAACTGGAGTGACTGATGGGCAGCAGCAAGAGGTCRCGCATTGTTTTTGCTGAAAGTTTTCTTAAGAAACCCAAATTCGTATCTGAAAAAGGTAGAAATGAAGGAGCTCTCTTTTGATTGCCAAAACTTACATTTGAAGGCTTACGTTTGGAGACAGATCACTCTTCCAGACTGCATTTGACAGCCRTAATTCCTTGTAGCAACAGGAACTTGGCGTATTTAGGAAGTTATTTTTATCCTGTGTATTTTCACAAATAGTCCACATTCTAGTTCTAGWTGGATACTTATTTGTGGATATTACCAGAAAATTGTGACGGACTAGCCTACTTGTTAAGGCATTGCTTCACATTTCCTGTCTCCCCTCCCAAGATTTTCATGCTTTTATTTTCATGCCTGCCTTTCCTAGTGGCCCGGAGCTCACTTGAAGCTGTTTGAGCATTAGGAAACTGCAACTTCCTAAGGCAAGGAGTTCCTCAGCTCAATTTTTTACCTGTTGTGCGAAGATCCACCTTTTTATTTGTAGGTGGGAATACAGGTTAACTCAGCCTAGGTGAGGTAACTGCAAGACTTAACAAGACTTGCTTCCAGAAGTGGAAAAATCCCCTGCGCGCTGGCTTCAAAACAGAGGCAGTGCTGTTCTGAGGAGGAGTATTTACCATAGCTGGATGGAGTATGTTTGCTTTCTGTGTTGAATGTACCTGTTTGCTAGGTCCCTAAAATGGTTTAAAAAAATATTAATTAAGGATTTGGGGAGAGAGGAGGAATCMAACCTTGGATAGATGCAGATTTGCTACTGTTTTCTCCTTAGAACAGAGTAATTAAAGCCTTGAATTGGCTTCAGAAAATTTTAACCTTACGACTAGAAAAGAATGGGCAAAGGCTGAGACTTTGTGCCCTACTATTTATCTAATTGATAAAATGGTATGAGGGCAGCAAGGGAAACACTTTAATATGTCTTTTATGTTAGTTTTGTTTAATTGTAACTTACGATGAGAAGGTAAAACTAATGAGTATGGAAATCACAATACTGGCCTCTCCACGTAGTGAAAGCAAATGAGTTTCTGTTTGGTTTGTGTTAAAGACAATAAATGAATCATAGCTACAAACTTTTCTTTTTAGCTATTTTTRAAATAACTATGTCTCTAGGCACTAAATGTGTTGATAACTTTTGCTCTTCATAAATTACTGCTGTGACTKTGAAGAACTGGTTTGTTGCAGTGAAACACCAATAGTCCTTTTCTTTTCCCTTTTAGAAATGCGCCACAGAAGAATGTTTCTTTTTTGAGCGTTTGGAATCCAATAACTATAACACCTACCGGTCACGGAAATACTCCAATTGGTATGTGGCACTGAAAAGAACTGGACAGTACAAACCCGGACCAAAAACAGGACCTGGACAGAAAGCTATTCTTTTTCTTCCCATGTCTGCTAAAAGCTGATTTCCACGGTGGAGTCTGAAAATGTGCGCCACACTACACTAACAAGGTAGTTCCCTACTGCTCTCCAAATAGCAGACATACAAGCAATTCCTTGCGGAAATAACTACTTCTGCGGTTGTCAGATTAAAACATGSATGTTTCATGCTGTCTTTATTATTGCTTTTTAAACCTGTTGTGCCAGTGCGTGTGAGGGTAAACTTCCTTGGAAAATATATTGGATTTTCAGGCTCAATAACATACCTGTTTCCTACCAGATATCTAGATAGAGCTGCTTTATTTACCTTGCACTTGCTTTACAGAGTAAAGGAAAATTAATCTGATGCACACTTATTTACCATTTAAAATAATTTATCTGTTGCTTATTCAAAAATAGAATATTGACTTCCATCCTAAAAGCAGTCCATGAGTAACTTTAACATGCTCCAAATAACTTGACATGAAACATTCTAAATAATTAATTTAATGAAATGTGAAATTAGTTCCTAGCCTGTAATATTTCTATAGGACTCGGGCAGCTCCCTGTGGTACAGCTTGTAGAACAGGCCTGTGTGAGCAGCCGGCAGCTCCCTCATGGTCATATCGATCTTCTCAAACCCTTCCCGGTGCCCGTAAAGCAGGAGCTTGGCCACACTGCTGGTGATGGGAGTAGCGTCTTTGGTCCTGGCCAGCTCAGCGAGGTCCATCCACACGCAGCTCAGGCACTCCTGCTCGCAGAAGCTGATGGTGAAGGAGGAAGGCTCCAGGCGGCAGATGAAGTACATATCGGACTTGCCAAAGGCTCCGGGGTGCCTGTGTTGCTGCCGCACGCTTAGGATGGACTTGAACTCGGACCTGATGCCGGTCTCTTCAAAAACCTCTCGAACTGCTGTGTCTCCTACGCAGAGAGAACAATTCTTGCAAAACATACAAGAATAGCCTGACACTTAACCTTCTCATCATAGAAAATTGCTGACTCGAAGCACTCTTATCTACTAAGCTCTCCAGAACATAAATGCTTCAACACAAGGATAAGCTCCTTTTTGTGATCCCTGAACAAAACTGACTGCTGGGGGGCTATTGGGCCCTTCTGCCACATACGCTATACAGCGAGGAGAGCAGGAAACCTCCCCTGACACAGGTGGGGATGGTTGCTGACTTCACTGACCTCTTGATGCCAGACAGCAGAGCCTTACAATGGGTCTTCAGTCCTTTGAACCCAGCTTCCAGATGGATTCTCTTTGCCTCCATCTGGTTTCTGCTTCAGACCCTTAGCAGCTGAAAACCTGGATATGTATCAGATCACCGAGAAATCGCTTAGCTTTGTGGCACGTTGCCAGGATGTGTGAAAATGTGGGGAAAAAYACTGTTTGCAGATAAGGAAAGTTGCCCTCGAGATGTACCCTAACTGTCTAGTGATAGTTCAAATGTGCCATAATATCACGATGTGGAGCCTCTTGCTGCAGAAGACATGTGCTCCACATGGCCCGTGTACTTTTTGTGTGTAACAGCTGAGGGGACATAGAGCTCCTCTTTCTCATTACTGAAGTCGATGCAAGTTCAAAGCTCTTGAAGTAACAGCTCAAAAGCCCAAACAAGAATTTTTGATATGCCACTTATTTTTTTCAAAATTCTGCAGTTGAATCATGACAAAGCCTACTCATCTGGGACAGACACTGATTGGCAAGATAACATATTTTTTTTTCTTTTAATCTTGCTAAGCAAATAGCTGTGTCTTGTCTTCAGTGGCAAGTGCATGTAACTGTTTTGCAAAGTTATCTGCTTCAAATGGTTCCTTTTTTTGTTAGGAATGRGTGTTGGCTTGCTTCCAGAGGCAAAATGCATTTTACCAGAGCCTTGGAGATTCTCCTTCCCGCACAAACGACCATCTTGAAATGTCAGAGGTGAAAGAAACCAGCCTTTTTAATTGTGTGTTTTCAAAATACTGAAAATAGTTTCAGGATATACAGCGGACAGCAATGTGTAAACAAAGGGATCTGTCCAGCAAAGACCACAGAGCTCTGCAGGGCTGGCCCTGGCCCTGCTCAGGCTTCTGCCTCAGCTCCGCCYTCACCTTCCAGCAGAGCAGTCTGTGCCAAGGCAACGGCAGCCGCGTCCAGAGGCCTTTGTGGGACCAGGGACCACTGATAGCTGGCGCCTCTAGAACATCCACTCCAGTTTCACCTAATGACAAATCTGCTACGTGTGAGAGGGGAAAAATAACATAGGGGAATGTACTCGTTTACCAGTCCTGATCCCTGGGGGAGACTGTGTCCTGTGTTGTCCACGGAGAGGCCCCCAGTCCTCGTCAAAGTAAGGCAGTGGTTATGAAGCAAACCCCCCGAGGCAAGTGGTTTTATTACCAGGCAAATGGCTGTTTTAAACCAGCGTGGTCAGGGAAGGTGAATGACTGAGACCATGAGGACCGCTGAGGTGTGCTGCGGTGAGAAAGGTGGAACCATTCAGGACTGTAATTAAGCTTTGAGTTCTGCCTTGAGATCAAGTGCCTTTTTCTGTTTCTCTTTTATTTAAATGTATGTGTATATATATTTAAAAGATAATGACAGTTAAACTAAAAGGGTAGAGCCTGACTTTAAAAAAATACTCAAACAAAAAAAGTGTGTGCAATCTGATGCATAAAACTGCGTTTGGAAACTCTAGGAACTGCTTGTGCAAAACGATTTGTTTTCCTTAGAGTAGGCAGTCATCTATATTTAATCACAGGATCTTTAAGCAGTGTAATTGCACTCTGAAATTTAGGTTCTTGAATGATTGTGAATTATAAGGCTTGATGTAAGTGAAGAAAAACTAAAATTAAGCTCTATTATATTTTATGCTTTACTAATTTATCTTTCCCTGTAATATTAAGATGTGATAGAGAACTCTAACAGTATTTTTTATTATATTGTTTAGTAGTGGCATGAGGGGAGCTAAAGAGATTTCTTCTTCCTCCCTCAGTATAAAATCTCCTCTGGCATCTCCTGGCCTAGATCCTCTCGCTCTCACTAACGGCCTGGCTAAACAACACGCACAGGGCTCAGGGTTCTTCTGATATTGCCTCCTGTCACTGTCTCTGAGAGAACAGAGCTGGTTAAAATATGATGAGTCATAAAATGAGTCAGGAGAAGGGACTCTCCACCACATCACGTAAACTAGAAAGCAGTTGCTCTGTGTATTGAAATTATGAACTGGATTGCAAGCCAGTTGTTGGAAGATTGTTAGGGCAGAGGAGGGAAATTCCTGAGGCATAAAACAGGTTCAGGAAACTTGGGCTTGATACCAACTTGCTAGAACTGCTGCGTGGTTTTGGCAACCTTTTTGGTCCTACTTTACTTAACAGTGAAATATAACAAGATTTCAACACTAACGTGGGACTATATTAATACTAGGAAATAAAATTTTTGAAACTAGGGCTTTACTARTAAGTACAGTAGGCTTTCCGAGTCACAAACTATGGATCCTAATTTTAAGTGGCTGCGATAGGAGGAGAAAAAGTATTATTTTCTGTCGTTTCATGCACACATTTGGTCATTCACCTTTGAAAATAACTGCAGCAATTGTATGTATCATCACCTCTGCCAAGCTACGTAGCACTAAAGGGTTTCCTCAAATCAACTTTGATCTTTTCCAGTGTAGAAGTGCCTTATGTTGCTAGTTGGAAGGAGGTACCCACAAGACTCAGGCACTGCACTTAGGCAGCGCCTGTGCCAAAGAAAGTCTTTAGTCTAAACAGATCAAATGCACTACGGTGCAAAGAAGCAAGTGTATTGATTCCTGTTTTGCCCATAAAAATGTGGAGTTGGAAATTTTTGCTCAGTATGTTATTGAGCTCAGCACCCTAGTTTCCAGAGTGAGCTGAAAACTCTTGTATTTCAGGGTTTTATTTTGTTTATTTCCTGACTGCCTTCATCTTAGGCACTTCTAGCTGATATTACAGCATATCCAAAAAAGCCTACAAAAATGAAACGAATTGGCTTCAAATCCTGCTTTAAGGGAAAATGTGGAAAAGCGTGATGTTTTAAAGCTTTTCTGCTCTGAGTGCCGTGTTGCCCGTTAATATTAAGGACATAGGATCATGCTATGAGCGCCGTTAATCTTAAGGACATAGGATCATGTCRTTTGGTCTATTGACCATTCATTGAAGGAAGTGAATAGTCCCAGGAGTCCTCTTACACGTACGTGTTGGTCACAATGTATTTCAATGTTGTCAATGACTTTACAATTTGGTTGATGTCTGAGTTGTTGCACTGGGACTCACCAATGTYTTCGCCTGGATTAGAGAGGCCTCCTGGAAACTTCCATGCGTTTACAGTCTGTATTGGAGGAAAAAAAATATTAATGAAGTAGCTCTGTGCTGTACTCCGTAATATGAAGGTGACAAATAATACGTGACCCTTATGTTGAAGTTGCAGTATTGTAATTATTCTTAGAACTATCAGGAAGGCTTTAAATAGGAACTTCTTTGTTCTTGCTAATGTGATGATCAAAGGTATGTATGAAATATTGGAACAAAACATCTACTGATTGAAAATACAAAGTGTCTAACAATCCTTAGACAAAAGTTGCTGCTAGAGAACTAGTTAGAGTAGCTGGATATAAAAAAGGCTGCTATAGTCTATATAGTCTCATACTTAATCACTGATGTATTCCACTTTCATGTTTTTGGCTTTTTATAAATGTTTATATATTTAATCTTACAAACAGATATTATGATTGTAGTATTGTTCTATACTGCACTGGCTTTAAGATGATTTTGTGTGTCTGTAATAACCATTTAGTGTAACTTGTCGTTTGTTTTTACGGAATACAAGAACTGAGGCCTTGTGTGTGGTTTATATATAGATACATATATTGAATTGCAATAAAGTTCAGTAATTAAAACAGAATGTGAACTGCAGACTTGGTGTTGTAATTAATGTTGCTAAAGGAGAGTCAGTTCCAGACCTCCTGCAAATGCATGAGGGTTTGCAGGTTTTACCCTTACCTCTGTGCTGTATGTACGATTTATTTTTAATTCCTTTCCATATTAAAAGTGAATGTAGGAAGAAGTTAACCTTCAGCTAGAGACTAATGCAGAAAAAATGTATACTCTGGCAAAAAAAAAAAAAAAAAAGAAAAAAGGTAGCTTTTCTTGTGCATGCAGCATAGAGAGCAGTTGTGTGCTTTCCAGTGATCTGAAATCCCACTGATTACTTTGGAAAATGGCTTTTTTGGGCACTCTTAAAGGTCTTGGATAGGAGTTTAGAGCAAAAGATCAAAAATACTGCAGATGGAAAGTACATGTACTTGTCTCTTGGCTTTCAGATTTGTTTTCAGTTCCTGGAAATCTTTGTGTGCTGAGGAATTGTTCTTTTTCCCGATACAACCCAAACAGCTCTTAAAAAAAAAAAAAAAAAAAAAAAAAAAAAAAAAAAAAAAAAAAAAAAAAAAAAAAAAAAAAAAAAGCTGCATATAAGCCTGATATTTCAAACTTTTGAAACCTGCTTCTGTAGGAGAGTCCCCATTTCAGGGAAATCATGTACCTGGGGGGAAGCGGGAGGAAAAATGGTGGAACGGACATGGGCAAAGGGTGACGTGAGCCACTTGGCTGGCACTGTTGTATTTACTCACTGCACGTGTTTCTAGAGAAAGGAGGGGTTGCCTTTCTCTGACCTTTCTCTGCCTTTTAGGGTTTTTTGKTTTTTTTTAACTATTTCTGGTTGCCTTGCTCTGCATGACAAATTCAAAATGTTGTATGGTGGAACCTATCTGTGAGAACATCCTTTCACTGAAGCTCTTTARCTTAGTGTAGTTACTAGTGAGCTGAAGCAGTGGGTAGTTCGGTTCCTAGGAACAAATCTGTCAGCTGTTTATTTCAGGAAAGGCAGGAAAAAAATACRGCTAGTGAGATTTTGGCTTCGATGTAACTATGAATTGTAAATGATGCAGCCGATTATAGTTAGTTAGCAGGTATAAATTCTGATTATTCCCAGGTTATAATTATAAGCATCCTCGGTGTACCGGAGAGTTCATCTCTCAGTTCCGGCAGGTTATTCACTTACTCAGCTGGAACACGTGGAGGATGTGGACTTCCAACGGAAGGACGGTGCTTCCTCTACCTYGCCGCGCTCGTTAGCGAGTGCTAATGAGTAAGATGCCCCAGCGCTGGCGGCTTGGCTACCTGGAGCCACATCACACAGCCCACCGTGGCCGCGCTAATTCTCTGGTCGGGCACTTCCTCTGTGAGTGTTTAAGCTTCCCTGCACCTGCCTCACACAGGTGGGCTCGCCGGGTCACGGCTACCACATCATTGCTTATTTAAAGCCACAGCTATGCCTGGAACTTGCAAAATCAAACAAAACCAGAATCCTTCTACCAAAATCCACTTACAGGTATGGGGCTTTTCCAGAGGTCTGCATGGATCCAAATACAAAATTGGAGAATCTTTTTAGGTCAGTTACAAGAGAAAAGAGAAAACTCAAAGCAGCAACGATACCTGGGTAGTGAAGGCAATGAAAAAAACATACTGTGCAGCTTGGGATCTGCTCTAATGTACGTCACGCGAGAGAGCGGGAGCCGAGTGGAGCGCTCCTTGCTAGGAGAATAAACTGGGGAATGTATGAATGTGGGGAGTACCTCAAAGCTTCTTCATCATTGYCCATGAAATTAATTTGAGGAATTATATATCCTTTCATACGGGTGTATTTGTGCTGAGACTATCACACTTTTTTTCCCCCAGGAGAATGTTGTGTAATGTTTTCCCTCATTTTGTTACTCTTTATGGATTTCTGTTTGAAATAACTTTTCAGGAAAACCATTTTTTATCACATTCAAATTTGCTTAGCCTTTTGTTTCCTTTGAGACAGCATTGCTTGCTGTGAATAAAATTGTACCTGGTACAAAAGATGCTGCAACTACCCAGTGTAATTCAGAAGCAGCATAGTGCTTCCTTAAGATGCAATTTGCTCTTTGTCCAGAAGGGCATTTAGTGGCTGGACATTCCTGTGCTCTGGATGAGCTGGCTCGTTGCGCTCGGTGGCAGCAGCCTGGAAGCGACTGGAAGCCGCGGGCGGCTCCGCTGCCGGCCGGCACCTCGGTGGGGCCCACACAACCCGGCTGGGCAGCTGCACTAACGAACGGGCTTTTTTCTTTTCTTTTTGGATTCTATTATTTAAAAACACTTATGTAGAGTAAGAGAACTGTCCTGAACCTTAAAAAAAAAAAAATGCTGCAGTAATTTCATTGTGATTTAGCATTTGTCAATGTATGTATAACTCAGGATTTGTAAATCAGACTTTTGTTTGTTTCTTTGGACGGCTAGATGCAACCATTTAGAGTAACTTCTACATAATATGAGCTTTTAACATAGGCTTCATAGTATGAATTTCATAATATAAACTTCCCTGCTTTTTTATCTATTGAAATATTATCATTGAAAAATTAAAATCTGGCAATGAAAAATGCAATGCAAATAGGCATATATGCATACATATGTTTGTGGATGTTAAATGAAATTATACCCTCTCTTAGCTGGGTGAAAGATGAAGTCTGTGTAAATCGTTAAGATTTTAATCATTTAAAAAATCCTTTTAATTCACTAAAATGCCCTCCTGTAAGCAATATGCCATTCCACTCTGCTCAGTCAATCACTGATTCTAATTAACAACAAAGCCATCTATTTTCAAAGTCTATCATTTCATTGTTTTTGTGATTCAGATGTAGATATGACAATCTGCTGATAGACATGTTCGAAAATACTACTAAAAAGAAGTAACTTAACTATGGACTGAAATGAAAAGATATTTCTTTTACACTACAGAGTAGGTTTATCTAAATTAACATCTCTGTATTTTAAGATTTTAAAGCAAACTTACCCTATTTCTGTCTTGTACGACCAACACCTTTCCAGTGCTTTCATCTAAAACAGCACCTATTAGAGAGAGACAATATTGGAAAAGACAGAAGTGTTTTGGACAAATATCTTAAAGCTCCTAATTTAGTATGTTTTGCTACAATGAAATAAATCCTAGTGATACTTAGCTTGTACTTAGCAAGATTTTTCAGAATTTATCATAAAGTAGTTTGTCAGTGAAAAAAAGYGATGCAGTTCAATACAACAAAAATCCTATGTATTGGTACGTATAAAAATTCAAACTTAGCAGGAGCTAAAGTATTTTGAGTCAACTTGCTAATCAGAAAGCATTGCTCCCACGTGGAGAAGTGACACTCACACCYGATTTAAGAAAAATGTATCAGGATGCAGGCAGGGAAATTCAGCCTCTCGCTGCATCACACTGTTCAGTTAGCCCATGAATTTCTCCTGCAGATTGTGTAGTTTTGTATTTTTAAAACCCAAATGCTTTCATATCTAGTCATCATGTCACACTCAGCAGTCATACTTTAGAAGTATTTTCCTTTTAAAACAGGCATTTTGTCAGATTTTAAATTTACGTGCTGCGGTGAGCAGCAWGAGAACGGGTACAATTTGCCAGGCTCTTTTCCACATCAGTCTTCCATGGGTTTCAAATTAGTAGGTAACTATAAAGAAATGCTATCACTTTCTAGCAGGAGGAGTCATTTGTGGATAGAAAACATGATGATAAACACATTAAAAGTACTATGCAGAAATATTTCCGCACAAGGGAAGTATTAASGAATGAGTGTCTAGTTTGAAGACATCCGTTTCTTTTTAATAACGTGTGGTAGACTTATGTGTAGGAGGAATTCTTCCAAACTGAAATACCAGCCCTCATTCAAGATATGTCAAAGGACATGGTTTAAGTCAGTAGTCACAAATCTGTCTCCTCGTGGCTTGTGACTTCTATGAGCTCATTCTTCCTGTAAATACTCGGCAGGGTAATGGTTCAAGTACTGTACTCACTGAGAAGAAAGAACTGTACTGACTGAGGAAAAATAAAGCAGAAGGAACTTGGATGCATACATGCTGTGATTACAGGGATCATTCTCTCAAAAAGCCAGATTTCAGCCAAATGGTCTTCTGAGACCAGGGAGGGCTGCTCAAGAAAGGAAACGGCTGATCGGGTCAACTAGAACAACTACTTCTCTCTTTTGTTCCCAAGAAATTGATGCCTGCGAATGTAATTTTTGGCCTTGAATTCTTATGTGAGGTGTCCAAAAACGGTGATGGATGATACTAAGTATCAAAAGCAAGCAAGAAAAGATATTAACGGGATTTGTCCTCTCGCCTCCTTTTCCCTGGTGTAACTCAGGAGCCAGGCAGCGAGGGCTGCGGGGCCACATCTGTTTAGCATCACTGAGATCACGCTTGGGCTGTGCGCACTGCGTGTGTGATACCTGCAGCTTTAAATCATCCATCCAGCCCAGGATGACTTTCTGGAAAGGTTTACTCTTGTAGCATAACCAAGCAGTCAGTATTACTGCACTGTTTTGTTCAAATGTTCTTTTTGGAATTAGATTAGGAAAAAAAAAAGCCTTTATATAACCAGTAATGGAGAATAAAAATACCTATACTCTTCTTATTCCATTGATAATTGATCTAAACATCCATGAAAAACATGTTCAGAACTGAACAGCACTCATCTGCATGTGTGCACAGGTAACCATGGCTGCTTGCTCTGGAGACATCACCAGGCAGGAATGGGCATCGCTTTGCAAAAAACTTGGGAACTTCTTTTAAATCACTCCTGATTCCCTGGACCGTCACAACCCATCAAGCTTTGTGTCCCTGTGCCGACTAATTTGATATTTGTGGAGATGCTGCTTTTTCAGACATCTTCATAAGAAACAGGACTTGCCAAAGCTGATGCTCATGTGTGTGCAGGGACCCTTCAACTCCAAAGGCTTTATTTCAACAACCAGATTTAGGCAGAAAGCAATGAAAATAGCACCTACGTGGTAAGGCAAGTGCTGCGTAGGAGGGAGAAGAGAATGGGTTTTGAACTGCTTTCCTCTCAGGTACCCTGTTATTTTGCATACTTAAAATGTGTCACTCGTGTGGATGGCAAACCACCGCCTCCTAAGAGGTGGAGAACGCTGAAACTGCCTTGCAGAAGTACCTTAATCATTTCACGTATCGGGGGCTTTCCTGTACCCTTTACATATATGGGAAATCCTGCTGCCTACAGAAGGATGCAGTAAGTTAGCTGGAAGATGCCTCACAAATTCCACTATTTTTAGACAATAATGTCCAAGCCCTATGAGTAAGGCTTCTAGGCGCTCCGCTTGGCAGCTCTCTGATGGCGAAAGAGGCCCTGGCCCTGCCCATTCACACCTTGGTCACCGCRGGGCCGGAGCGCGGCCGCGCGCGGCAGGGGCAGCCCGGCGCGCACGGAGCCCGCAGCTGCCCTGCCCCGGCGCCTGCCCGCGCCCGGGCAGCTCTGCACGTTTGACATCTGCACCGTGAATTACCAAACCCAGAGACCCCCGTGCGTGAAACTGCTGCTGTCCGCAACATTTGTTTGTTTGCATGGGGCGTTCACCTGAGAAGTACAACAGCAACTGCAACAGCAAATGATGCCTTGAGAAGAAGGCTTTCCTATTCCTGTTTTCAAACATTTATATGGAAGACTTTTCAAAGTTACTGTATCTCCACATTCTCCATTGTTCTTTTTATAGTCATCAGGGCCACAGCATTTGCATTCAATGATTTGCTTTAAAAACGCAAGTTCCACGCTTCTGAAAAAATCCCCTTTCCATCAGTTCTGCTTTCCCAAATATGCAAGTTCTAACCATAGGAGTAATGCTGAGCTTTTGCGAGGGGAGTGCATTGTTTTCCTCGGGTTTAATGCCACATATTTTAATGGTGAGGTTTTCATACCTCTGGAAAACATGCTCCAACATGTCCATTGACAAATCCCAAGCCTCTCTTAGCTTCTACAGTGCCCTCTGCTGGTGTTCTAGCCGAAAACACCCCCTAACAACAGTATTAATTAAAGGCCTTTCTGAAGCTCTTTTTCCCCCGTCTCCCCTTTGCTACAAGGGATAATCCTGCTCTTGTGAGTCCCTTCTAACTCGGAATTGCCAGGCACACACGGCACTTCAAGGCACACACGGATGAAGTGACGTCCCGTAGAGCCCTTCCAGCAAAGGACCGTCAACTCCGCCTTGTAACGAGGGGGACTTGCCCTCACTGTCCTGACTGTTGAATGTTACAGCTTTTATCGGAACACAGAGCCCAGATCGACTGCCACATTAGGGGCAGTGACTGAGCGATGGCGCAGGCAGCGGCATTTCTGATGGAGGGCTCTTGAAAGAGAAGGCAGACGTACTGAACTCTTGTGGAGACCCACATGGCTGTATTTTGGGCTCATCCTTGGTTCCTCACACTCTGCTGTATGGAAAAACAGCTAACCCTCTTAGCTAGTTCCTTGGGAACTGCTTTGGAGTTCTTTTATAGAGCAACACCCAAGTTTGTTTGTGGGAGATCCTGACGCTAAGACACCCATGTGTCCAGAGGATGTGTTTGGGATATGGACTTTAAATATACTTTAGAGGAGCTTTTGGACTGAGCGAGTTCCCCAACAACTTCTACTGGTAAAAGTTTGCCCCATTTGCAGACGCCAACTTGAGCACTATTTAGGCAGATGCACATATCAAACACGCACAGTCAAGGATGGGTAGCACTGGAATAGAGATGTGATCTTTTTAAGATGTTTACAGGTGCTTTTCTGTTTCTAAAAGTATTCTTCTGTAACCCTGAAGTTCCACCTCTCTAACCTGCAAACCCAAAGGCAGGAWGCGCCTCTCAAAATGATCAAAACAACAGTCCTGAAGGAAGGTAAGTTTTTTTAAAGCCTCGGAGCATTTTCTTTTCCCAGGGCTGTTTATAGGTTTCTCMACTTGGGATACTGAGGTCCCTCTTTCTGGGCTTGTTTTCAGCCAAGCACAGTTGGCCTTASGAGCACGTCTGCGAGCGGCACCTGCGCTTTGGGCAGTGCCCCTGGCCAGCCTGGGTGTGTTTGCTGTGCGGCAGCCCAGCCGAGGTCCTGCCGCAGCCGGAGCTCAGCAAGCACGAGCCTCTCGGTCCGCGCCGGGACACCTGGGGACTAACCTGCGACTCCCACTTGGTGCGTGGCGTACGGGGGCAGCCTGCTGGGCCCCTCTCCCAGCCACAGCGCCAGCGTGCAGCCGTCCGCCTCGGCGTGGTGCAGGGCAAAGCCCTGCGCGGCAGCCGCGGCCACGAGCCTGCTCTGCAGGATGGGCACGTGCAGCCACACGGCCACCCGGCCCTGCTCCCGCCAGCGCCTAACCGCACCTGCAAGAGAGCGACGGGGAGCTGCCGGCGCCATCCCAGCGGCCGCGCAGGAGGCCGAGGCTCCCGACCCGCAGCCACCGCCTTCCCCGCGCTCCTGCTCCCTGGAGGCCTTTATGCCTGCCCACMGCCCGGCACAGCAGGGCCTGCAGCGGGCCCCACGGCTGCAAGGCCGGGCCAAGGAGGTGGCAAGGGCAGTGCGGGTATCCCCGGCAGCGCTGCGGGCCCGCTCCGCCCCGCTCCCCGCCGCTCGGCTCGGGGCTGCCAGGCAGCACGCGAGCTTCCCTCCCGACGCGGGCGCTTCGCGCGGAGCAGCGGGCGCCGCCGCCACTTGCCCTGCAGCCAGCGGC